ACAGATAAAACCGACCTTAAAATTCATGTGGAAATTTCACAAGATCCTGATGAGCCAAACAACCTCAAAAAAACAAAACACAAAATCCTCCTACAAAGTTGGAGGTTGGAAGACTCACATTCCCAGTCTCAAAATTAACTAACAAAGCTATAATAATCAAGGCCATGGTACTGCCACAAGGATGGACATATAGATCAATGGAACAGTATTCCATAGAGTCCAGATGGAAACAAATACATTTATGATCAACTGATTTTCAACAAGGATATCAGTACCATGCAGCGGGAGAAATGTTGCTGTAACAACTGGATACCCACATGCAAAAGAATGAAGCTGGAGATCTACCTTACACCATCCACAAACATTAACTCAAGATGAATCAAAAGACCTAAAGGTAAGAGCTAAAACTATAAAGTTCTTAGGAGAAAACAAAGGAGTAAGTCCTTATGACTAAGAAACAAGAGAAAAAATAAACTGGACTATATAAAACATTAATACCTGTGTGTCATAAATGTTACCATTAAGAAAGTGAAAAGACAACCCTTGGAACAAGAGCAAATATTTGCAAATCATATATCTGATAAAGTACTATATCCAGAATATATGAAGAATCCTTACAACTCAACAATAGAAAGAGAAACCAGTTCAAAGATGGGCAAAGGATATGAACAGACCTTTCTCTACAGAAGCTATACAAGTGGCTGATAAGCATATAACAAGGATATTCAACATCATCAGCCATCAGAGAAATGAAAGTCAAAACCACAACAAAAAAGCATTTCACATCCACTAGGATGGCTATCATCAAAATACAGACAATGTCAAGTGTTGGTGGGCATGTGGGGAAACTCGATCTCTTATACTTTGCTGGTAGAATTGTAAAATGATGTAGCTATTGTGAAAAACAACTTCGTTATTCATCAAAATGTTAAACACAGAGTTATCACATGATCCAGCAACTCTTCTCCTTAGTATATGCTCAAGAGAGTTGAAAACATATGTCCACACAAAAACTTGTATATGAATGTTTGTAGCAGCAGTAATCATAGGAGCCAAAGGGTAGAAATAAGTTAAATATCTATCAACTACCTGAAGGTATATCCATACAACAGAATATTATTTGGCCAAAAATAATATAATAATACTTTAAATGAGTGACTTTTATGGTATGAATGATATATATATATCAATAAAGCTGTTAAAAAGGATCCTTATTTTGTGAGGATTAGCACATTAAGAAAGAACTATGTCCACTTAGGGCTATGCATTTTTTTTTCCTTAGAAATTGTAATAGTAATACACTATTTAAAAATTTTAAAAAATGTTTATTTTTGAGAGAGAACGAGAGAGCGAGCGAGCAAGTGGGGGAGGGCAGAGAGAGAGGGAGACACAGAATCCAAAGCAGGCTCTAGGCTCTGAGCTGTCTGCACAGAGCCTGATGAGGGTTTTGAACTTATGAACAGTGAGATCATGACCTGAGCTGAAGCTGGACACTTAACTGACTGAGTCATCCAGGCACCCCAGTAATATACTACTTTAAATGTTAATTTTATTTATAACTGTAATAATTCATCTACACTTGTGCTTACTTCTTGATTCCAAGAAGTAGATTTCTAGATTTGGACACAAAAAGATCTTTAACCCTTTTGCTAGTCACCTTTTCTGGGTCATGAACAATTTGGACACCTGCTGCATTATATTAAAATAAAATTCCTTGCCCTAAGTGTATGATTTTTTTTTCCCCCAGGCTGAGGGGTCAGTGATATTAATCTGAACGGCTACCCTGAGGAATTTTCAGTTTAGACACTACAGCCAGGTATTCACAGACCCCAGGTAAAAAATAAAAATATATGAGAAAGTTCTCCAGGAATCAATAGATTAACTAACTAGTTGTGAAACCAAAGACAGGAATAATTATAGAATGAACATGGATAATGACATCTCTCCTAGATTCTAAATAATCTCCACTTTTTATTTAGTTATCCCATCACTCTCATTTATATGGTGTTTTCTAATCACACCACCAAGAGGAAATGAATGACTGGCTTCAGTTTAAGTCACTTAAATTGACTCTTCACTTTAAGCTTGTTAATGATGACTCTGCAGCTACATAAATCTTAGAAAGTAACTTTAGTGATTTTTTATTTTACAAATAGTTTATTGTCAAATTAGTTTCCATATAACACCCAGTGCTCATCCCCACAAGTGCCCTCCTCCATGCCCATCCCTCCCTCCCCCCTACATCCATTAGTCCTCAGTTTTTGTCAGCATTCAAGAGTCTCTCATGTTTGCCTCTCTCCCTTTCCCCCACCATTTCCCCACTTATTCTCCCCCTTGTTCCTCAGTTAAGTTCCTCCTAATCCTCCTATACGTGCAAACATATGACATTTGTCCTCCTCTGCCTGACTTATTTCGCTCAGCATAACACCCTCAAGGTCCATCCATGTTGCTACACATGGCCAGATTTCATTCTTTCTCATTGCCATGTATAGATAAACCACATCTTCTGGATCCATTCGTCTGTGGATGGACACTTAGGCTCTTTCCATGTTTTATCTATTGTGGAGAGTGCTGCTATGAACATTGGGGTACATGTGCTCCTATGCATCAGCATTTCTGTATCCCTTGAGTATATTCCTAGCAGTGCTACTGCTGGGTCATAGGGGAGTTCTAGTGTTAATTTTTTGAGGAACCTCCACACCGTTTTCCAGAGGGGCTGCACCAGTTTACATTCCCACCAACAGTGTAGGAGGGTGCCCGTTTCTCCACATCCTCTCCAGCATCTAGAGTTCTCTGATTTGCTCATTTTAGCCACTCTGACTGGCGTGAGGTGGTATCTCAGTGTGATTTTGATTTGTATTTCTCTGATGAGGATGGATGCTGAGCATCGTTTCATGTGTCTGTTGGCCATCTGGATGTCCTCTTTGGAGAAGTGTCTGTTCATATCTTCTGCCCATTTCTTCACTGGGTTGTTTGTTTTTCAGGTGTGGAGTTTGGTGAGTTCCTTATAGATTTTGGATATTAACCCATTATCTGATATGTCATTTGCAACTATCTTTTCCCATTCCGTTGGTTGCCTGTTAGTTTTGTGAACTTTAGTGTATTTAAATCACATTAGTTTTTCCTTAAAAATTCCTCAAAAAAATATTGTAAACACACACACACACACACACCCTGCTCCATTCATTAAATGAAGTGGTATGTCTTAATGATTCAAATCCCTTTACCCTCTGCACTTTACTCAGTGTTTAATTCCTTTGTATAAATAGTGAATGTTTCTAATATCTGTGAGCCAGTGATTTAACCTTCAAAGATAAACTTTCATTATAATGCTTCTAAATAATCCTACAAACACCATAAGCACATGTCAAGTGTTGATGGAGTAGTGAAAAAAGATCAGCTTTGGAACCATAAAGAACTTGAGTTCAAATCCTAGCACAATTTCAAGTGATGAGTTCTATGGGTCTTGGTTTCCTGTCTATGCAATGGAGATATTAATAACTATGTTGTTGCACTCTTGTGAAAATTTAAATATATAAAAATAATTTAGTAAAGGCCTAAACTTCAGCATCTGTGATATTTGTTCAGCTGCCCAAAAAAATCTTGAAGTGAACTCCTTTGTGGTTTTCTGAAAACAAGTTTAATATTTAATAGCTCACGTTGTTTCTTATGTGTCTAAGACTTTTTTGTAAAATAGAAAATAATTTCCTTCAAGTCCTACAAAGTGACTGCCATATGCTTGTCTAAGTTAAAGTAATAATCTAATACCAACATGCATTTTGGAAAATCTGAGATAGCAAAGCTGTCTATATTTGTAAGTTTCACCAATCAGTCTCCTTCCCTAGCACCCTAATTCTAAAATACAATTATTTCAGAGTCAGTTAAATAGCATCTCTATTACATATCCATGTTTCAAAGCTTATCATTAGAGATCTGTTTTTCCATGATTCTGAAAGATTTGTAGTGCTTTATAGGAAAAGAAATTTGAATGTTTTGACTTTCTAGGGTTGTTAATTTGTATCCAACAACAAAAAAACTTGATATTAAAAAACTCCAAATGACTCACTTTAGAATTAAATGAACTGGCTGATTTGAAATACTTATCATATAAATAAAAGCATTATATAAGTGTGTTCACGATAGTTTCACCTCATCAGAAATCAGCATGCCACATTTTCTATGGGTTTAACTTTTGGAAATTTACTTCATAATTTTTTTCTCTTTAATAAAGAAATTAGGTTAGAGGGCTTCTTATTAGTAGAGGCAATAAAAAGGGCTCAAAAATATGCAGATAATAAATACACGCTACTTATTAAGGTTATTAAGGACAGGTACTATGTAAGGTCTGTAAAGACAAGTAATTAGTTAACAATTTCAGGAAATAAACCTTTATTATCTATCTGTGTAACATTAAAAAAACACAGGATGAAAAAACTATAGAACAATTTATAAAAGCCCAATTGGGTTATTTCAGTTTCAATTCCCTTTCCTAAAAGAAAACGAGAAGAGATTTTCTGACACCATAGAACGTTTCACCAAGGAGAGTCAAATCAGCATATTGATCCCCTTCTCAGTGAAGCCTATCCTAACCACCCTATCGTTTCGTAACTGCACCCCCTCTCAATCCCTCTTACTATATTCAATGCCCCACCGCCACCCTCATGGCTTTTAACATTTTTTAACTTAATTAGTTGTAGTATTTATTTTTTATTCTGCCTCCACCCACACATACTAAAATGTGGGCTCCCAAAGGGCAGGGACTTTTGTTTTTGCACTCGGAAGTAGTCTGAACGGCCACAGTAGTGTCCAGCAAATCGTAAGTGTTCAGGACATAGTTACTGAATGACTGAATGAGGATACAAGCAGGTAAGAGCGACAAGCATATTCATATGCCACTTAAAAGATTAATTCTCCAGATCAGATTGAGAACATTCCTGAATAACGGTTAAACATCCCACCACTTCAGATTATTCAGCTCACATTTCCCTTCAAGACCCTACCTGCCTGAGTGCGTTCCTATGGCCACCACTGTGCCACTTGGATGAAAATCTGCACAGTGTCCTGGTTCCTAGAAGAGAGACAGACAGCTGTTGGGGAGTACATGAGACAGTCTCCCTAGATCTATGGGATAATGGCAAAAACCTCTGAAAATAACCATATAATCATATAATCATGGAATTCCGATCAACTTTATTGTAGCCAATGAAAAATACCACATGGATATGAGGTAAAAGAATTTCTGAGCAGGAAGGGTATGTGGGCAAAGTGGTGAGGGGAAAGGATACCAGCCTGTGGCTGGGCAGTGTAACAATAAGAATAACAACAACAAACATGTATACAGCTCTTTAGTCTGCAAAGAACATGTATACACCCTTGGGCCAGACGAGGTGGATGTCTGGGTGGGGTAGGGAGAAAACACAGTGAGAGATCAACTCAAAAAGAAGAGAGTAGAGTCTGTTAGTGAGCAGGGTGTACACAGAATCCAACTGCAACACCACCAGAGGCCCAAACATTTCTGTGAAATCTTTTTGACTTTTTTCTGAAACTGACAGAAAAATTGAGCTTTTGCCCTAATTTGCTTATTTAGAGTGGGTTCACATTACACTTTGTTACTAAACTCTCCTTTATTTTATCCTTTTCAGTAAACTATATAAAAACACTTAGTTTTAACTAATGCTGAGTCCTTTTTCCTTTGTTGCTCCGAACTGCCAGTTTAGGGAGCTTCTGTGGGGAGATTATAATCACATTTTACTTTACTCACATCTACGAGCCTGGTCCATTCCAGCCTGTGTTCTACCGAGTTCCACATGCACACCTGTCTGTCCTGAGCACATGTCAAGAGCAAATCTTTAAAGGGATGTGTGGCAAGACCCCAAAGCTCATCTGTATGACCCTGAAAATGAAATATACATACTATTGTAAGAAACTAAGGGTATCATCAAAAATATTCAGTTAATGGTTAAAATCATACATCAGGGCAGCTGGGTGACTCCGTTGGTTAAGCGTCCAACTTCAGCTCAGGTCAAGATCTCAGAGTTAGTGAATTCAAGTCCCACATCGGGCCCTCTGCTGTCAGTGCAGAGCCTGCTTCAGATCCTCTGCCCCCCACCCTCCGTCCCTCCCCTGCTTGTGAACATGCTCTCTCTAAAATAAACATTTAAAAAAAACTGGTTAAAATCATACATCTTACCTGTACTTCTATTTGGAAGCCATCATTAAATGTTCCCCGTAAAATGAAGTTTCGTGATGTGCCCACTAAAAATTGATCCGCCTTTCCTTCTGCTACAGCTCTGATGGTTCCATACTGATCAGGAACCTATAAGATAAATTTGTAATGAAACCATATATAACAAACATGCATTAATTACTACCTGAAGACTGCATTTATAGTTGTAAGCAATTATGCAGTAATAAATGACAAAATTCCAAATTTGAAAGTCATATGGTAATAATATACTAATAAATCTATTTGTTCAATCACATTTTATTACACAAAAGTTATCACACATTATTATCAACATTCTTTGTGTTAGTCAATTTTTAAAAAAATATTTATTTACTTTGAGAGACAGAGAAAATATGCACATGAGCAAGCAAGTGGGAAGGGGTAGAGGGGAGTGAGAGAACTCTAAGCAGGCTCTGCAATGTCAGTGAAGAGCCCGACACAGGGCTTGATCCCATGAACCATGAGATCATGACCTCAGCCGAAATCAAGAATTGGACACTTAACCAACTAAGCCACCCAGGCACCCCTGCTTTAGTCAAGTTTTATATTTATATTTTATATGATCTCAAGAGTTAAGGGCTAGGAGCAAGGAAAAAGGAAAAAGTTCTAATAGTTTTGTTATTTATCAGTTATGTTATTTTTGGTACATAATTTACCTAGCCTAAGATAAATTTTTATCTGTAATATGGGGAAATAATATATAATAATAATAATATATACCTTACCTATTCTTAATTATTTTAAGTATGAAAATGTGAGAATAGTACATGTGAAATTTCTCTGTTAACTAAATAGCAATATATTGTGAAGTGTTAGAACTGTCCTTAATAGGATTACTTGGGAGCTCAATCTCATTTAATGTATTACATGGTATACTCTCAGTGAATGGTGTATTAATAATATAATAAGCCCAAGGAATGACCTTGAAATAATACAATTCTTTATAAAGGAGGAAACAAATAATTGAATTCTAAAGTAATCCAAATTGATGGTGAGGGGAGGAATGAACTAGATGGTATAGCTTTTGATTACAAAGAATGTAAGTTATCTGTGAAAAAAAAGAAATCGTAAAGGAAGTGGCATTTCCATGATGAACTTAAGATTGTGATAAAGGGAATCTTTCGACTTGTCTATCTTCTTGGAAATAAAACCAAGAGCAGTACTATCAGGATCCTCTTTTATAGAAAACATCTTGTCTGAAAAACATGTTACATGTTGAAAACACTGAGCATAAATTCAAAATTTAAGTCACAAAAAAATAGAACACAGAACTGTGTGAAATTTGCCCTTGCTCTGAGAATTACTGACCTATAAAATACTATTCTTAACCCATTTCACTTCCAGAGACCTCAATTTAATTATCAAACTTTCACTGAGCACATAATACGTGTGGATACACTTGGTCCATAATATGAAGCAGACACATACTTAATTAGCAGTTATCATTAGGCCCATTATTTAAAAGGTTATTTTCAATTTTTTTCAATGTTTTATTTTAGAGAGAGAGAAAGAAAGAGAGACAGAGGGAGGTGCAGAGAGAGAGAGGGACAGAGGATCTGAAGTGGACTGTGCTGACAGCAGTGAGCCCAAAGCGGGGTTTGAACCCATGAGCTGTGAGATCATGACATGAGCCAAAGTTGGACACTTAACTGACTGAGCTACCAGAAGCGCCTAAAGAGTAGTTTCAAGTTTTAAAATCAAACTGCTTATTATGTATACCTTGGAACTGGATACTCTATTAGATGAATGCTAATTAAATTTTAAGTAAGCATGGTTATATTTTTGGATCCCTACAAACTAATCTCAGAAATAAACAACTAACTAGTTATTGTGACCAATATATGTATATTTTTTACTCTTTCAAATTATTAATGAATGGTCCCTTTTTCTTCCTTTTTTCTTTTTTTGAGACAATGAAATGATAAGAATATGTATCAATTTCCCAGGAAAGTGGATTATCTCAATGTGGGATGAAAGACATGCATTTAGAGGGCTTCATATTTTAAAATTTTCATGTTTCATTTTCATTCTTACCTCTATTTCTCTCTCAGGATTCAGATCATGATCCCACAGAACTATTTTTCTGTCCTTCCCTCCTCCAGTTAACAACATCCCATTTCTCATCTGACAAAGTGTGAACACACTCCCATCATGTGCTTTGATTTGTTTGCTGATCTGATAAACACCTAGTAAGATGAGAGTAAAAAAACACTAGTGATACATTTTCTGTCAGACTTCAGTGTCTTTTTGGAAGAAAACTTTACAGAGCAAATAATCAGAAGTTCCTACTTTTGCATTTATGTCAATATTCAGTTACTCTGAAAACATTTCAAAAGATAAGCTAAAGTAGTGATAACTCTACAGACAACACGGGATACATTAGCCTCAGAACTTACTATCTCTTATAATCATCCTCTATGGCAGGTATTACTCTTCTGATTTTAGAGCTAAGGACACAGAGGTAATAGAAGTGGCTTAACCAGCACCACATAGCTAGTGACAAAGCTGTGAAAAGTACCCCAGGCTTTACTCAATGCTCCTTTAAGTTTCCCAAAAAGCCTTCATTTCCTGCTGAGATAATATCCATAATATTTAACATTTAACAAACACTGTTGATGTGGAAGCCTTCTGCTCTGCCAAGGATTATTCCCTTTACTTGCTAAGAAATGGAAGACTGAGAAAGATACTAGGGCAGAAGTGGGCACTGGCAGTCTAGAGCCGTGGCTTTTGATCAACTAAAGAAGTATTTTTTTAAAATAATTTTTTTAAAAGTTCATTTACTTTGTGAGAGAGAAGAGAGAGCACGAGCAGGGGAGGGGCATAGGGAGAGGGAGAGAGAAAATCCCAAGCAGGTTTGTCAGTGCAGAGTCTGATGCAGGGGTTTGAACCCACGAACTGTGAGATCATGACCTGCGCTGAAATCAAGAGTTGGATACTCAAGCATCTGAGAAACCCAGGCACTCCAAGGAGTATATAAAAAAGTTTTAGAGGGGGAATGAGGGCACACAAGTAGGAAAAGGGGCAGAAAAAGAGAATCTTAAGCAGGCTTAACACTCAGGCAGAGCCTGATGTGGGGCTTGATCTCACAACCCTGGGATGACCTGATCTGAAATCAAGAGTTGGACCCAACCGACTGAGCTATCCAGGCACCCTCAACTACAGAAGCATTTTAAAAACCAGTCCGGTTATACTAATGTGACGGCTGAATGATAGCCCAGTTTCTTGTATCTCCATAGCACTTTACAAGTACCCAGGGAGAGACAAGGCAGGTTCATAAAAAATAGTTAAGTCCATGTGGAGATAAAAAAAACAAATTGTGTGTGTGTGTGTATATATATACACACACACACACACACATACATACAACTGACCCCTGAATAACACAAGGTTAGATGTGCCAACCCCTGTGCAATCAAAACTCTTGTGTATAGCGCCTGGCTCTTCAAAAATGTAACTAAATAGCCTACTGCTGACAAGAAGCCTTGCCAATAATACCAACAGTCGATTAATATGTATTTTGCATGCTGCATGTATTACATACTGTATTCGTCCAATAAAACTAGAAAAAATATTAAGAAAGTCATTTACAGTACTGTACTATAAAAAAAATCTGGGGGGCAACTGGATGGTTCACTCAGTAGCTTAAGCATCCGACTCTTGATTTAGGTCAGGTCATGATCTGACAGTTTGTGGGATCCAGCCCTGAGGTGGGCTCTGCGCCAACGGCATGCAGCCTGTTTGGGATTCTTTCTCACCCTCTCTGTCCCTCCCCCGAGCGCTCTCTCTCACAAAATAAACTTTAAAAGAATAAAAAATATCAGGGTACCTGGGTGGCTCAGTCGGTTGAGCATCCAACTTCGGCTCAAGTCATGATCTTATGGCTCCTAAGTTCAAGCCTCACATTGGGCTCTGTGCTAAGAGAGCTTGGAGCCTGCTTTGGATTCTATGTCTCTCACTGCCCCTCCCCTGCTTGTTCACTCTCTCAAAAATAAATAAATGTTATAAAAAAACTTTTTTAAAATCTACATATAAGCGGACCCATGCAATTCAAACCCATGTTGTCCAAGGGTCAATTACATATGTATGTATATTAATTAATTTATTTTTAAATAAGCTACATGCCCACCATGGGGCTTAAACTCATGAACCCAAAATCAAGAGTGGCATGCTCCACTGACTGAGCTACCCAGGACCCCTTAGATCCTCTTTCTTAAGGGTGAGGGTAAAATTTTAGTACTCAAACTACAAACAGTTCATTTCCTGAGACCTTTTCTTTGGTATTCATGATATCTTAACTCAGAGAAGCTCTTTATCTGGCTAGTGAGGTTAGTAGAGAAAGAGTAAAGCTCTTAGGAAGATATCTTGTAGAATTAGTAAGTAGGTTAAAAATGGGAAGGTAGAGCCTTGTTTAAATATGGCCAAAATCAGTCAACAGATCTTAAATCGCTTGGAAAAGTGAAACAAATTACAATTTTAAAAATTATTCAGTTGGAGAAACGGGTGAAGGTGGTTAAAAGGTACAAACTTCCAGTTATAAGATAAAGAAGTTCTTGGAAGTTAACACACAGCATGGTGTTAACTACGACTAAGAATACTATATTGTATTTTTGAAAGTTAAGAGAGTAGATCTTTTTTTTAAAAGTTTATTTATTTTGAGAGAGAGAGAGAGAAGGGGATGGGGAGGAGCAGAGTGAGAGAGAGAATCCCAAGTAGACTTTCTACACTGTCACTGCAGAACCCAATGCAGGGTTTGAACCACATATCATGAAATCACGACCTGAGCCGAAATCAAGAGTAGGACACCTAACCAACTGAGTCACCAAAGTGCCCCTAAAAGAGTAGATCTTAAAAGCTCTCATCAAAAGAGAAAAATATGTAACTATGTGAAGTGATGGATGTAAACAAAATTACTGTGATAGTCATTTTGCAATATAAACATATCAAATCATTATGTTATAGATCTTAAATGTATACAAAACTATATCCCAATTATACCTCAATAAAACTGAACAAAATTATTCATTTTCTAACTTGTTCAACTGAAAAATGGATAAACAAAATATGTATGCTCATAACGTATTCAGCCTTAAAAAGAATGAGGTACTGATACGTGCCAAAACACAGATGAATCCTGAAAACATTCAGGTTCTAATACAAGAAGCCAGTCACAAAGGACCGTATGCTGTATGACTCCATTTATGTGACATGTCCAAAGGAGGCAAATCCCTAGAGACCAAAAGCAGAGGAATGGCTGCTACAGGCTGACAGGAGGGAGAAATAGGAAATGACTGCTAATGGGCTTTTGAGGATGACGAAATGTTCTGAAATTAGATGGTGGTGATGGTTGTAGGACTCTGTGAATGTACTAAAAATCAACTGTACATTTTAAAAGGGTGAGTTTTATGGTATATGACCTTAATAAGTCTCAATAAAGCTGTCATTGAGATCGTTCATTTTTACTTATCTACTTGAGCTGCCACTGTATTTAAGAAATTAACTAAAATTTGTAGGGCTTTGGTATCCTTTAAAAAAATGCTACTACAGGCTCTGAAAATTACTCAGGTTGAGGATGCTAGTGGTACAGATACTTAATGGAAGAGTATATTTGGCAGGGAGAAAGGAAAGGGCTTGCCTGATTTGGAGTAGAGCTTGTTTGAATCAGCAGAGCTGGGAGCAGAACTGCAATAAACTTTTATTCGTGTCAACTGCCTCAGTGCACATCAACATTCACCACCTAAAAATACTTTAAACACTGAATACCACCACATTTGTGTCCAGTAGGACAGCCAGCCAATTATCTATCATGGCTCTGATGTGACCAAGAGAGAAAGAATATCTGAGAGATGTGAAGTTTTTGAGTATTGTTGGGTTTAGTTGGGCAATTAAGGGGGAAAAAAAAAAAAAGCAAAGGGCTTATTTTCTCATGCATTGTCAAACTAACAAGGGTAGTCTGAAAGTACCATGGTACCATGCAAGAAATTACAAAAGAACCCAGACATAAGGAATTCCATGGATCTCCATCAGAATGTAGAAACATGCAATATAGTTTACTTTAAAGTCAGTCTTCCATACTTTCAAACACCACAAAAACCTCATTAAACACTTAAGATCCTCCTAGAATGATGGAATGTTAGAAAACATGAAAAAAAAAAAAAAAAAACCTGAGGACCAAATGTTTCATCAAGAATAAAAAGATGTAAGTAGTATAAACTTCATGAAATTTCCACTTTCCACCTACCCCAGGAGAGTTATTTCCTGAGACCTAATATTAGCTGAGCTAAAATTTCTGTGTTTCAAATTTACACAAATTACCAAAGCTCCCTTTAGACAAAACAAATTTTCAGCCAGGTCGCCTGGGTGGCTCAGTCAGTTGAGCAACTGATTCCTGATTTCAGCTCAGGCCATGATTTCATGGTCAGTTAGACTGAACCCTGCATCAGGCTCTGCAATGGCAGGGCAGAACCTGCCTGGAATTCTCTTTCTCCCTCTCTCTCTGTCCCTCCCCTGCACATGCTCTCTCTCACACACTCTCTCTCTAATAAACATTAAAAAAAAAAAAAAAGCCCAAATTATTTCTGACATTCCAATTTAAGCCAAGTAATTTTTGAAATATCTACCAAGAAAAATAATTATCCTTGAATTTAAAAGCCTATTGTACCTTCAGGTATTTAAATGCAAATCTCCCCTTTCTTCTCATCTCTAACAGAAACAGTTTCCTTAAAAAGCAGTTTACCTTGACTGCCAAATAACAATAGTCTGGAGGGCTTTCTGTGCCGGTTTAATAACTATGGAATCAAATGTCAGGGAGACTTTGAAACTTATGTTATATTCTTTACAACTAGGCAAATGTGCCCATGTTGATAATCTGGAACAGGTAAAATGGTGTTTCACAGTTCTTTAAAGAAATTTGGCAAAGATTTAAGAAAAATGGACATTTTAATCATCTTGTAGATATTTTCAACTTCCCCTTCCCTCACTTAAAACTTAGGAATTATTTCATAAAAGAAAAATTTGAACTTTTCGTATACATAGGAAATAAATACCTTGTACCCAGCGTGAGAAACAGAAAATAATGAAATAGCCTAAGTGGTGATCATCAGATGAATTGATGAATGCATACACACATACATATATACAATGGAATAAAAAAAGAATATAATCCTGCCATTTGTAACAACATGGATGAACCTTGAGGGCATTATGCTTAGTGAAATTAGTCAGACACAAAAAGACAAATACTATATGATCTCACAAGTAAAATCTAAAAAAAATGAACTAATAGAAACAGAGGTGGCGGTGGTGGGGGGAATAGGTGACAAAGGTTAAAAGGTACAAATATACACTTATAAGATAAATAAATTCTGGGAATGTAATACACAGCATGGTGACTATAATTAATAATACTATATTTTACATCTGAAAGATGATGAGAGTAAATCTTAAAAGTTCTCATCACAAGAAAACTACTATGAAGTGATGGATATTAACTAAACATTTATAGTCATCATTTGGCATACACATTATGTTGTACACTTTAAACTGTCCAATGTTATATGTCAATTACAATCAATAAAACCAGGAAAAAACAGAAAATAGTAATTATTTTGAAGATTCGTGTTAATGTAAGGTAAAGGAAAAATGGTTTGAAAGCAGGAAGAAAATATATAAAGAGCTTATGAAGTATAAAATACAGTTTTGGTTTGCTTCCTATTTATTAAAGCAAAAGATTAGCTATGAAATTATACTTCTGTCATCCAAAATAAAAGGATAAATGTCACTTTATCAGACACATTACCATAATACACTCAGATTTGGTTAAGACTGTCACAGATACAGATATGTAATAGGGAATATGCAAAATGGATCAATCTACTGAAACTTTTGGCAAGAATTTAAAAATGGAAACTGAGCATTCACTGCATTCTTACAGAACAGAAACCCTCAAATATAAAGGAAGGAACAAAATTCTCAACAACTTTACCCATAACAGGTTCAGTCATGTGGCAGGGGACAACATAGTCCATTTCATATGCCCGGCAATCTACAAAGATTAGATTTCCTGTTTCCTGTATGTTCACATGCAGATTTTTGGAAAAAAGGCTAAGCTACAAATTTTTCAGACAAAAACCAAAATGAAAACAACCTCTCCCTACCTCCCACCTCAACATACATTAAGGCTAACGAAGGGTACATTTATACCCAAATTCTGCTTAGTGTCAGAGGATAACGTCAAAAACTTAAGTCACTGCTCTGATAGACAATGCTCTTCCTTGCATTTCTAATACTGAACAAATGTGCCCAGGAAAAAGAAAACAGAGATAAGTGGGAAAAGTAGTTGATTAATATCATTGTTCTTTTTTTTTCTTTAAAGTTTATTTATTTTGAGAGAGAGAACATGCGTGTGCATGTGTGAGAGAGAGAATCCCAAGCAGACTCTGTGCTGTCAGTGTTAACCTGGTCGCAGGGCTTGAACTCACAAACCTGGAGATCATGACCTGAGCCAAAATCAAGAGTTGGAAACCTTAATCTACGGAAACCACCCAGGTGCTCCTGCCTCCTATTCTTTTTTCTTAAGAATCTGCAATCCATTGATAGTCTTATTGTCAATTTTGAACCTGAATTGGACAAAAGAAGCTTAAGACTGTATGGCCAATGATTGAGATCAGGATCACTGGTAATACAATTTAAGGATTAACTTCTATCCAAAAAAATATATATATAGTTTAAAATCTACACAACTGTAAGAAATCTATAGTGCTATAGTCAAATTCCACATTTCCATGAAAATAGTGCTTTCATCAGTTCCACTCAACTTTTATTCCTACACTAACACCCAAAGGTAAGAGTAAAGTCATTTCCTTAACAAAATGTTTGACAAATAATTTTCAAACAGCTGCTACCAAATGCCAGAGATTGTGTTAATCCCGGGAAAGTCTATTAGGGCAGACAGCCATGGAGATTAGGACTTTCCTTCTGAGAAGAAAAACCAGGATTCCCTTATTCTTAAATTATCTGTGGTGATTTCCACAGTCTGATGCAGAGACTCCGAAGAGACAAAGGGAAGTTGTTTCAGTGTGTTTAAGGTGAGGGGGGGATGAATAAGAGAAACCAGGGCATGCTGCTCTGCCAATCCCCAGGGGAAGCATCTCAGGAACCCCAAATTGGTTCCCTGTCAATCCCCACCTCTCTTCTTGTGGATTCTCAGACTCTGATTGGTACAGCTAGTTTTCTTTCTGCTGCTACTTGTTACTGCTAATATATAGTCTCTCTTTGCTCCCAGCTCACTGATTTTAGAACATCTCTAATTTTTCTCTTATAGCCTTCTACTCTGAAGGAAGCATGGTCCTCTGGATATTTTTTCAGCTTTATTTTTCTTAAATCGTAAGGAAAAAAAAGGGAGGGGGCTGACAAAAAGGCTATTTTCAATGCTATGATTTTTTTCATCTACCTGAAAAAAGGGCAAAGTGACATATGTGTCTGGGTGCAAATGGGGCTTAAAAACCGTATCTGTATTTTTGAGAACAATCAATTTGAGGTAAAGGTGAAGAAATGCCAAAGCCTACTACGGGGGCTGTGAAGAGGGGCTGTAGCGAACAAAAGAAGGGGACCAAAACTATGAGTTTATTCTTTTTCCCTCCCTCTCTCCCATTTTATAACATGGCCATGCATATTACCCTCACAGAAATACCCAGCCCCAGTCCAAGGGAGAATGAGCCCTCCAGTCTGTGGCTATGTGGGAAAAGTGGGGAAGAAGGTAGGAAACTTGCCATAAATTTAGTAATTGGGACTATCATTCTTTATTAATATACTATAAAAATTGCTAGCCATGAGCTGTTACGATCTTTGGAAACAGGCTTCCAAGAGTTGATAAGGATAGTTTTAGAAAATTGTTTAGAAAAGAATACCTCTAAATTTACAGGGTTTTGGTTTTATTATTCATTTATTATAATAAATCTACTATCCATAGAAAAGATAAAGCTTTCAGTTGGATCTCAATTCCAACGTGCAGAACTCTGAAGTAATGAAGTCTGACTATGTGACACTTTACACGACATTACTATTGTTCTTTTCTTATCTATTAAAAACAGAAACTTCAGGGGTGCCTGGTGGCTCACCTGGTTAAGTGTCCGACTCTTGGTTTTGACTGAGGTCATGATCTTTTGGCTTTGTGGGACTGGACCTTGCGCTGACAATGTGGAGCCTGCTTGGGATGGGATTCTCTCTCTCTCCTTCTTTCTCTGCCCCTCCCCTGCTCATGTTGTCTCTTTCTCTCTCAAAATAAATAAACTTAAAATATAAATAAAATAAAAATAAAAACTTCAAACCTTTAACAGAGTTGCCTTTACTGAGAGCAATGTCATTCTGTAGGACTCCACCATTTACCCACATAGGATATGTCAGCCTCTAAAGCTCCAGTCTCAGAATAAATGGAAGCTCTTGCTCTTTTTCAAGGATAACTCTTCCTTTTATGCCCAATTCAGGCATTCTCCTTTCTCTCTAAGAGTTTTAGTTTCCTCCTCTTCACTGGGAACTCCCATTTTACTTCAGGTTTTAGGCAACCTTCAAAAGACTACTGACTGACTCTAGTAACTCTCTACTTCCCATTCCATTTTCAACTTGTATTCTCAAAATTCTCCATTTTGAAAGTGGCCATTCTATACTTACCTGTTTTGGGGCCTTAAGTTCTACTGATCCTGTAAACAACTAATGGCTATTTCTTAGTTTTTATTCTTGACTTCTCTATAGCACTGATACTCCTAGAAACTCCTCCCTTCTTCAGGGGCACTAAATAAAGAGTTCTATCTTGGTAACTTTTTTCTTTTTACATCTTACTTCTCACTAGGGTCTTTTCTGGTATCTAACTGGGGGATAAAGACCATTAGCCTCATAACTCTTCGTCCACGGTCAACTCAACAAGTTTTAAGGATTCTCTTTTGGTTACAAAAAATCTGTACATTAATCCTTACTTAAATTTTTAATTACATAGTATGTATTAAACTAATAGTAGGAATTATAAAACACTATTCTTTTTTAAAATAAAATCTCCCTCAAGTTGGCTATTTCTCATCTCTGTTAACACTTTTACACAACAAATTTATTCACAATATCCTGGAGGCCTCATATTCATATCCATCTTTCTGCCTTTGCTTGCACTATTTCCCTAAACTGGGATCAAGGTTCCATATCTTTTGAAGTTTTGTACATTCACTAGCCTAAATACTATTTCTTCTGTGAAGGATTCACAAAACACTAAAGATGAGGATGATTTCCCTCTCAATCTTTGTACTCTTAAAATTAGCATGTATCTTTACCATCTCTAATTACTTTGTATTAACCTCCTGGAAGGAAAGGTTCAATAGAATCAAATGTAGATTATATGCGCTCAATGAACAGCTGAATAAAAAATTTAACTTTAAGAAAACGGATCATGAAAAACTAAAAACAAAATGCACGTTGATGACTTTCTCCTGGTGTGAGTAAGAACTGACCTGCAACAGCAAGACGTACACATTAAAAGTAAGGACTTTAATGTGAGAATACCGTACCTTTGGGCCCCTTCCCCGGCGTGGGTTCTACAGTAGTTTTGCTCCATATAAGTATGACTCCACCTGAGTCACCAGTAAGGACATCTCCATTCCCCAAGAATGCTAAACACTGCACAAATTTTGGTTTTTCATATTTCTACAATGAAACAATGAGAATTTTTAGTTTTCCCTTTGGCATGATAACTTTATGTTAACTAAACAACTAAAAAATTGAAAGTTTTATAATGAAGTTATAACATTCTGATCCTTACCCCAAAAATTCCCTGTTTTCTTGTTAGTGAATTACCACTCCAAGTCCAGAAAAAAATATGAGATTTACCACATGTTATTATGGTATTTGCATCTGTTGGATGGAATTCCACAGCCAAAACAACTTCATTTGTTGTCTGTGGATAAAGAAATAAAGCTTTAGATGAAGTGTATATCCTTATCTCCATCAAGTACCAATTAGAACTAATGAAAATTGAGAAACATTCTAAGAAAATGTCTTTTCTGTTAAGATCAATTTCCCTGAAAAATTTTAATAGATTTTTAGAATAATGACTTAAATTTGACGTCCTCATACTACTGTATCATCTTTTATGCTATTTATATATAATAAATGCATTGAAGACCTATGAATAAGATTTAGATTATTTTAATTTCCTGCACATTCAGGGAAAAGTACAATAATACTAGTAAATCAAGAGCCACGTACATTCTATCTTAAGGACAGACCACTATTTTTATTTTTTAAAAAAGTCTTATCTTTCTTTGTACTATTATTATTGACCATTTAAGAAAATATTACTGATTTAGAAATTCATCATGTGGCTGAAGGCTTAAAAAGTAGATACAGAATGGTCACTACAGATTACTATAGAAATGAAAAACCATTCTGCACAAAAAAGTGAGAATTTTTATGCACTTCCTAGAAAGGACAGGAGTTAAATGAACTGGAGTGAAAAAGGAAGAAAACAGGCATGAAAGTCACAAAGGAATTACTGAAATTACTGAATTGAGGATATTAAAAACATTTTTAATGTTTATTTTTGAGAGAGAGAGAGAGAGAAAGAGAGCAAGTGAGCAAGCACAGGGGAGGTACAGAGAGAAAGAGGGAGACAGAGGATCAGAAGTAGGCTCTGTGCTGACAGCAGAGAGTCCGATGTGGGGCTCGAACCCACAAACCATGAGATCATGACCTGAGGTGAAGTTGGACATTTAACCAACTGGGCCACCCAGGCACCCAGAGGTTATTTTTTAAATAGCACATTTCTATATATTTGATAAATTATTTTTTCATTTTTTTTATTTTTTAGAGAGAGAGAGTGCACACAAGCAGGAGGGCGAGGAGAGGGAGAGACAGTGAATCTTAAGCAGGCTCCATGCTCGTATGAGGCCTGACGTGTGACTCCATCCCACAACTCAGGGATCATGATCTGAGCTGAAATCCAAGGTTGGGTGTTCAATTGACTGAGCCACCCAGGCACCCCTGCCTTTTAAAAATTAAATAGCCCTTATTTTTCACTTAGACAAAATCAAAACTTGACAGTTGAATCTTACACCAAATGGATTGAGGGTTATAAAGCTAACTACAAATACATCCAGTATACAAATCCATAATGCTAGTGGTTAAGATATTCAAGACACATTCTGAAGTAATCTATGAAATTAAAACACTTTGGGTATGAATGTAGCATAAGAAGACACTTTACTTTGATTTTTATTTTTGTATATCATATATACATTAAAGTACACAAATTCTAAGTGCACAGCTTGATAAATTTTCACAAATCAAACATATCTCTGCACAGAAGAAAAAGAACATTATTACTAACATCACACAAACACCTTATATCCCTTTAGAAACTGTCCCCTACCTCTGCTCAAGCAGCTATGATCCTGATTTGTAGCAGCACAGATTACTTTGCTTTATATAAATGGAATCACACAGAATCTACTCCTTTGCGTCTGGCCCCATTTTATCTACATTACATTCATGAGATTCACTTCATATTGGTGCATATACTGTAATTTTGTTCCTCCTAATTACTGTATTGTATTCCTTTTTATGTAAAGATCACATTATTGATTTATGCATCCTTCTACTAACTGGCATTTGGGTGACTTTTTTTTATTTTTTGCTACCATTATTTTTGAATACTTGTCTTTTGGTCAACACATGTATATACTTCTGCCGGATGTATGCCAAAGAGTGGAACAGGATGACAGAGGGTATGCACATGTGTATGTTCAACTTTAGAAGGTAATGCCCAACAGTTTTCCAAAATGGCTATGCCAATTTCTATGTCCAACATAAAGGAGTATATGACAGTTTCAGTAACTTTACATACATCCTCATCAACTTTATTTTTGTCTACTCTTATCCCTTCATATTTCCACATATACTTAGCTTGTCAACATCCACGAAAATCATGTTGAGATTTTAACTACATTGAAAGTACAGATCAGGGGCACCTGGGTGTCTCAGTCAGTTAAGGGTCTGACTTCTGCTCAGGTCAAGATCTCAGGGTTCATGAGTTCAAGACCTACATTGGGCTCTGTGCTGACAGCTCAGAGCCTGGAGCGTGCTTCAGATTCTGTGTCTCCCCTCTCTCTGACCCACCGCTGTTTGTGCTCTGTCTCTCTCTCAAAAAATGAATGTTAAAAAAGAAATTTAAAAAATGAAAGTACAGATCAGAAATTTTTAAAAAGTACAGATCAAAATGCAGAGAAGTAACATCTTTATAATACTGTCATCTATCCATGATTATTGCATATTCCTCCATTTATTTAGGTCTTTAATTTCTGTCAATAAGGTTTTGAAGTTGCCTTACTGAATCTTAAACTTCTATAAATTAAGTAGGTATGTACCAGTCCTCAAATTTTTGTGACTTAAACAAAAAAAAGAGCTCACCTGCAGAAGAGAATAAGGTCAACACACAGGGAGAATCAGTGATCCGGTCCCTGAATCAAGTCATTCCTGAGATAAAATTCCCTTCTGACCTTTATTAGAGGTTTTCTTTTTCTCCCTAAATGTGAATACATTCTCCTTATCTTTAAGGAGTTGTTTGCAGTCACTTGCACTGGAAAGAGCTCTAATACAGACATCTGGGACACAGAGCTTAGGGAACTTCAGTGTTACAAGCAAGGGGAAAAGAGTTTCTAGTTTGCACAAGTAGGTGGAGTGTGGTGTTAATCACCGAGAGGCGCAACTGGATGGGGTCTAAGGAGGGTGACTGGTACAGATTGGGACATGTTGATTTTGACTTGCAGGACAGGACACTCAAATAAAGACATTCAAATAAATGAGAGAGATCTGCGCTAGAGTTAACTGATCTGGGACACAGCAGACAGTAGCTAAGGCCATGAGAGAATATATGATACCAGTGGAGGACATGGGATAGAACTCTGAAGGACCCCAACATTTAAGGTCCTGGAAAGGAGAACACAGAGTTGCCAGTGGGAGGAAAACCGCAAGACACCATCTGATAGCCTTTACTACAAAGGATCAAAATGCACACATCTCACTTCAGTATAAAATCCTTATGTTTCAATGTTAAATTACTCTAAATCATGGCTGAAAGACAATCTATATCTTCATTTAGGTTTTTCAAGGTTTGAGGTTTCTGGATATGTTATATTCTTTTCAAGTACAATCAAATCTACTCTTTTTTTTAAAGAGTAACTCACATTATTTAAAAGAACCTCTTTTTGACCAACAAGCTGATAGCTTTAAGCTTATACCAAACAAAACTGGTAAGAGAGAGGGAGAGGTCAACTGAAGAGGAATGTGATGTTATTTAAGAGTACGGCAAATATGTCATAGGCTTTTTTTAGTCATCCTGTCACTCTGAATCCCTCTGAAAGCCTGTCAGAGGGAGGCCATTTCAACCCATATGAACACAGTTGCAACATTAACCTTCTATTCATCTCTTACAAGTTATAGCCAGATCCACACAAAGGGATCAACCCTATTGTACAGCAATTATAAATGCTATAGTATTTTATGTAATAATCACATACATGTAATTAAAACCAAAAAACTTATCATTACATATGCTTTTTGGTTATGTCAGTTACATTCCTAAGGATGAATTTTTCCTTTAGATTTTTAAAGCATTAAAGATTAAATGAAATAACAAATTCTGTTAAAGAAGAAGCCAGGTAGAGTATTCAGAGTTAATTTTTAGATTAGATTTCCATCTACTTTGGCATTTCAGTAGCACAATATGTCTGAAATATCACTGAAATTTGGTTGAAGGTGTCTATTTTATCTTTTTAAAAAAATTTTTTTAATGTTTTATTTATTTCTGAGAGAGAGAGAGAGAGGTAGCGTAAGCAGGGGAGGGTGAGACACAGAATCTGAAGCAGGCTCCAGGCTCTGAGCTAGCTGTCAGCACAGAGCATGACGCGGGGCTCAAACTCACAAACCATGAGATCATGCCCTGAGCCGAAGTCGGGCGCTTAACTGACTGAGCCACCCAGGTGCCCCTATTTTATCTTAAGAATACTTTGGGGCACCTGGGTGGCTCAGTCAGTTAAGCATTGACTCTTGTTTTCGACTCAGGTTCATGATCTCAAGGTTTGTCAGATCAAGCCCTGGGTTAGGCTCCATGTTGTCAGGGCAGAGCCTGCTTTGATTCTCTCTCTCTCTGCCCCTCTCCCACTCTTTCAAAAAAAAAAAAAAAAAAAAAAAGACATAG